TTATATAAAAATTTATATAAAATTAATTATAAATATTACCATTAATAAAATTTAATTTTTATTTTAAAAATACATGTTAAAAAATGGTTTAAGTACCATTTTGGTCCCTCAGCTTATCATTTTGGCATCAAAATTGTCCCTCAACTTTAAAAAGTACCAAAATTATCCTTAAACTTTCATTTTCAGCACCAAAATGATCCTTCTGTCAGTTAAATGACAGGTGGCACGTTAAAATGCCACAAAATCATATTTTTAAAAAAATAATAATTACGTGGAAAACATATCATGCTAAAAGTGATGAGATGACAGTTTTTTTTAAAATAATTTTTTCCACGTCAAATAAAAATGAATTTATAAATTAACTGAATTTTAAAATAATTAAGTTAATTAACTTTCATTTCATCATCTTCTTCTTTCTCCTCATCCTCAGCCTAATCCTCGGCATCATCATCTCACCATTCTCTTCACCATCCTTCTCATCATCTTCACCATCCTCTTCCTCTTCATCATCTTGATTCCTCATGGAACCCGATGCTGGGTTTTCCTCTTGTTCATCTTGGTTCTTCGCGGAACCCAAATCTAGGTTCCGCGAGGAACCCAGCCCGATGTTGGGTGGCAAAACCTAACCCGATGCTAGGTTTCTTGAGGAACCCAGTTCCTTGAGGAACCCAGATCTGGGTTTCGTGAGGAACCTAGATCTGGGTTTCGTCAAGGAACCCAGATCTGGGTTTTGTGAAGAACCCAGTTCTGGGTTCCTCAAGGAACCCAGTTCTAGGTTTCGTGAAGAACCCAGTTCTGGGTTCTTGGTTTCCTCGAAGAACCTAGGTTATGGGTTTCGTGAAGAACCCTTGACGAACCCAGAACCTAGCATTTCTTCGAGTAATTTCACAATTTCACTTCATTTCCATAGCTCTGAGCACAAAATTCATATTCTTGGTGATTGGTTTGATCAATTTTGAAGTTTGGGATGGTAAAGCTAGTTTTTCTTTGCTCTGTTTCTTTAGCTTCTTGCTTTGTTTGGTTGCTCTGTTTCAATTTTGAAGTTTTTCTTTGTTTGATTGCTTTGTTTTTGTTTGGCCTTCGGGAACTCAACTGAAACTGGAAAAGGAAAACAATTTTTCATGTGGGCCCCACAAAAATTGAATATGAAAAAGGAGAGCAATTTGACATGGAAAAAACATGCCACGGTAGCAAAATTTTGTTTGCTGGATTTACACGTCATTAAAAGTAAAAAAAAGCAGTGATTTTGTGGCATTTTAACGTGCCACCTGTCCACTTAACTGATGGAAGGACTATTTTGGTACCAAAAATGAAAGTTCAAAGATAATTTTGATACTTTTTAAAGCTGAGGGACAATTTTGGTACCAAAGTGATAAGTTGAGGGACTAAAATGGTACTTAAACCTTAAAAAATCTCATAATAATATAAAAATTTTTAGAGGAGTGCTAGGAGCACTCGCTCCAACACTCTCCCTTTAGCAATCGCTCTTCCATTTAGCCACGTCTCTGATGGATTCGAGGCCTTAGCTGGGAACCGGCAACTGTGGGTGACCATTTTATTAGCGTTAATTGAAAATAAATACATGTGGTAGTGTGATGCAACATTCAAATTACATCAATGCCCTCGTAATCATCTCCTTCCTCCTTCCTCCCTGATAGAATACCTGCAATTTTGTTTTGTTTTCTTTCCAACCAGAATCCCCCATAATTTAGGTTTGAACTTATTTTCTCCTCTCCTTTCCGTAAACTAGAACTCCCCCTCTCCTCTTCTTCTCTACTAAGACTAGAACCAGAACCAGGCTTTCTCTCTCCTTTGTTTGTACCAAACTTTCTCTCCTCCTCCTCTTGCGCTAGATCTGGCTGCAAAATCACGCTAGGTTCAGCGAGGAACCCAGATCTACAAGTATTTTCACTCATTTTGTGGGTATTTTTGAGAGAGCCGATATGAGGAAAAAGGAAGAAATTTGAGAACCCAAATATGGGTCTATCTTTGTGTAATTGTGCTCTCTCTTTTTTTCTCTTTATCTGTTTTATTTCTCATTGGTTCTCATTTTCTTCCTATCGTTGGCCGCCATCGGGCTTGGCTATCTGGGCACGGGATGTTTTCTGTGGCCGTTCGTCGATGTTGGTAGAAGGGGGTGGGTTCCTTCTGTGCTATGAAGATTATCAGGACAAATTTGCAGTGAAATTAAATTTGTAGAGGAATGTGTAGCACAAGTTTGCTGGGAAAATTTTTCTTTGCAGAGGAATGATAATATAGAATCCAATGGGTCTTTCTCAAACTCACCCGCCTGCCGTCATCCACCTTTCATTTTTAACCACAACCCAAAGACTTTCTTCAGTCCTTCATCTTTCTGCAAACCGTCAATACAAACTGCAAACACTTTTTAATTACTCTCCTTTTTTATGATTACTCCCACACAAATTAGGAAAATTTCATAATACTACTTCTCATTTTGCTCCTCTACTGATTCTCACCTACAAAAAAAGAAAAAAGAAAAACTCGTGCAAAATCCAAGCTTGTTATGAAGATATGGATCAGAAGACTGAAAATCTTGTGGGAGAAAGAGTGAATGTTAAAGAGAGGAAAGTATGAAAGGTAGAATAGAAAGGGTGGTGTTGGATTAAAGTCTAGGATTTGCCTTCAAATTATCAGGGGAGCAAGATGAAGACTGGTTTGGGAAGAGAATAATGGAGAAAGGGATGGAGATGGCTGCGAGGGGAAAGAGAAATATATCGTCAAATATTAATTTTTAAATAAATAGAAATCGACTACTGAAGTACTGATGTGGTTGAGGCCGAAAGTGTAAACAGGTTGCCTATCAACTATTTAAATGTATGAGTGACGTGGCAAAACAAGGGAGAGGGTGCTGAAATGGAGAGTGCTGGAGCGAGTGCTCCTAGCACTCCTCAAATTTTTATAAGAAAGGCAGTAGCCAGTACGTACACGGTACAGCCTTTTCAGGGTAAGACCCAACTTCCACCGCGAAACTCCAAAACTCACCGCTCCAAATCCACGGCCAAGTGTAAAGTGCAGGGAACACATGTCTCCCTCCACATAATCCCTCCATCACGCGTCTCCCTCCCCTATACGTGTGGTTCCCAGAACGCCCTCCACTCCATGCCTCTATCTTCCAACCTAATCGAAGATCACACTTGTATTTTCCGTTTGCATGGCCGAGCTTCTCTTGAAACCAAGCGCCAGTAATAATCCCCTACGGTGGGCCAAAGACCACTAGCATCCCTCCACGTGCACCCCATACTAGCACCCCTCCCTCTATATATACACCCTTCCGGTGCCCCTCCCTGAATCACAGAGGTCTCAGAGTCTCGATTTTGTTCCATCTTCTTCTTCACTTTCTGCATTCTTAGCTTTAATTTGGAAATAATGTTTATTGATAGCTTTAAGGTAGAGAGCCCGAATGTGAAGTACACAGATGGTGAGATTCACTCTGTGTATGACTATGAAACCACAGAGCTTGTTCATGAGAACAGAAATGGAACTTATCAATGGATTGTCAAACCCAAGACCGTGAAATATGAGTTTAAGACCGATACCCATGTTCCCAAACTTGGGTTTGCATCCAATTCCCTTTTGCTTTCGTCTATGCTGAAAAGTTTCCAATTTTTGATCTGTTCTGAGATTTTGTTTATGGGTTTTTGATTTCTAGGGTTATGCTTGTGGGATGGGGAGGAAACAACGGCTCAACCCTCACCGGAGGTATCATAGCCAACCGAGAGTGAGTTCTATCTCCTTCTTTGCCCCAATTCATCTGCTTTCTGCTTTTCTCATGATGTATGTGATTGTTGAGATTTGGTGTATGATGTCAAATTGTGGAAGAAAGATTGCTTTTAAAAAGATTTGTTATTTTATATTAACAGAGGAATCTCATGGGCCACCAAGGACAAGGTGCAGCAAGCTAATTATTTTGGTTCTCTGACCCAGGCATCCAGTATCCGAGTAGGGTCTTATAATGGAGAGGAGATTTATGCTCCTTTTAAGAGCCTTCTCCCTATGGTACCTGTTGTTTAACCATGATTCTAAGTAATTAGTTTGTCTTGATTCGTTGTTGTTTTCACTAAATTATGAATGATAATTAACTCAGGTGAACCCGGATGATATTGTGTTTGGTGGTTGGGACATTAGTGACATGAACCTTGCTGATGCAATGGCGAGGGCCAGGGTCTTTGATATTGATCTTCAAAAGCAGTTAAGGCCCTATATGGAACGCATGGTCCCACTCCCTGGCATCTACGACCCTGATTTTATTGCTGCTAACCAAGGTGAACGTGCCAACAACGCCATCAAGGGGACAAAGAAAGAACAAGTTCAACAAGTCATCAAAGATATTAGGTATAATTAATTCTTTCTACCTTGAGAAGAATTTTTTGATATAGAGAGGGGTTGTTCCTTTTATGGTAAAAAGTTTGAATTAATGGCTTTTTTGTGTCAATTAGGGAGTTCAAGGAGAAAACCAAGGTGGACAAGGTTGTTGTGCTTTGGACTGCCAACACTGAGAGGTACAGTAATGTGATTGTGGGGCTAAATGACACCATGGAGAACCTCTTGGCTTCTCTGGAGAAGAATGAGGCTGAGATTTCCCCTTCTACCCTGTATGCCCTTGCTTGTATTCTTGAAAATGTTCCTTTCATCAATGGAAGCCCACAGAACACCTTTGTTCCAGGTTCGTAATTGAGCCAAGCAATCTTCCTCATTTTATGTAATACTATTACATACATAAAAGCCTGTACCATATGTAGTTAGCTTCTAATTTGTTAACCGTGTGCAGGACTAATTGATTTGGCTATTAAGAGGAACAGTCTGATTGGTGGGGATGACTTCAAGAGTGGTCAGACCAAGATGAAATCTGTCTTGGTGGACTTCCTTGTTGGTGCTGGTATCAAGGTATTAAGGGTTGCTATGCTTGACTCAGAATTTTATATTTTGATGTCTAATGTTTTATGCTTTTATCATGATATATGATATTTATGTTTGATGGTAGTTGAACTTGTGATGATGAACAGCCAACATCAATAGTGAGCTACAACCACCTGGGAAACAATGATGGCATGAATCTGTCAGCTCCCCAGACCTTCCGCTCTAAGGAGATCTCTAAGAGCAACGTTGTTGATGACATGGTAGCTAGCAATGGTATCCTCTACGAGCCTGGCGAGCATCCTGACCATGTTGTGGTCATCAAGGTAAATTTTTCACTCCTTAGTCAGTTTAAGTATAAAATACACTGCTTTGTCATGTTTAACGTCCTTACGGAATTTTGTATGCAGTATGTGCCATATGTGGGGGATAGCAAGAGAGCCATGGATGAATACACATCAGAGATATTCATGGGAGGAACGAACACTATAGTGCTTCACAACACTTGTGAGGACTCTCTGCTAGCGGCTCCCATCATCCTGGATTTGGTTCTCCTTGCAGAGCTCAGCACCAGGATCCAGCTCAAGGCTGAGGCAGAGGTGTGTTTTTTTTGAACTGGTATAAGCCCAAAACTCATGAGAAATCTCAAGGCTAATTCTAATGTTAATTTTTCTGCTTTGCAGGGCAAGTTCCACTCTTTCCACCCTGTGGCTACCATTCTCAGTTACCTTACAAAGGCTCCCCTTGTAAGTACTTTATTCCATCTTTACGGTTACTTTCTTGGACTTAATTATAATTTCCCAAAATAAATAATTGAACTGGGAATCAGGAAACTATTGGTGTTATTATATTTGTGTCCCTTTTTGTTAATTAAGTAAACAATTCATGTGACCAATGGCATTGGATTCACATGAAAGATCTGAAAAGCGGTGGCAGAGTTTAATCATAGTTGGTACACTTTACAGCATGAGAATGTGATAGGAATCATGAGTTAGTACACTGGGCTCTACTTTCTCTTCTCATGTATTAGTTGCTAGATTCGTATGAGAAGGATGACTAATAAATTTTTCGCCAAAAACAGGTTCCACCAGGCACTCCAGTTGTAAATGCACTATCAAAGCAGCGTGCAATGCTGGAGAACATTCTGAGGGCTTGTGTTGGCTTGGCTCCTGAAAATAACATGATTTTGGAATACAAATGAACCGCAGGAGGATAATGGACTTCTTTTATCTTTTCATAAAAGTTGTGGTTCATGCCATCACAAATTGTAACGCTTGTGTGAAGAATTCGTGGTTAGCACTACGTTTTGTTCTATCCTTTCGGATGGTGCTCATGTGTGGTAGCCCCCCTGCTGTAGCTCATTCCTGAGCCAACCCCTCTATGAAAATATAAAACAGCATATGAGTTTTATTGTGTTGTTGTACAACAATTTCCATGATTCCTAGCTCTTTCCAAAGAGTAACAGGATGTTAAGAAGTAAACCGCTGCTCCATTGTGCATTATCCTAGCTAATTTCTTTGATAGAATGGGGCCATGATAGCTCTATCCATTTCATTCATCCCTTTCTCATTTCTTTTCCAATGTGGGATCTGTTGAAAATGCCATTGCTGAATGAGTGCATCGAGGGCTCTACTCATTGATTATAAGAGAGTATAAGAAATGGTCCCATCTCTCCTTTTTCCCTCTGTCAAACAAGTGGTGCATTCATAAAATTTTGGTCCGTTTCCATGAGTGCCAGAGTAGGTCCACAAAAATTGACACGAATAGAAATCGGTTGGTCCCTGCGGTAACATCATTCCGAAGCGCAGAATACACTGGCGGTCCCTGCAATTTCTTAGAGTGTGCTTGGAAAAAAAGTTAGTAAAGGAAAGTGAACGAAAAGGAGAGGAAGAGGGAAAGGAGAGAAAGAGAAGGATAGGAAAGAAAAGAATTAATACTTTGGATAAAAGTTGATAAAGGAAAGCGAATGAAAAGGTGAGGAAGAAAGGAAAAGGAGAGGAAAGAATTAATATAAATTTTATTTGAATAGTTTACAATAAATGAAGGAAAAGGAAGGTAAGATTATATTTTTTATTTAATTAAATAAATTGGAGAACATTTATTATAAGATTAATTAAATTTTTAATTTTATTTATTAAATAAAAATTATAATTATATTTTTAAAAAAATAAAAATATATATCCAATACTCTCAATTCTCTCAACTTGGAGGGATTTAAAAACAAGAGATTTGAAGGATTCCGTCCCTCTCCATCCACCTCTTTCTTTTTCCATTTCTATTGATAATTTTGTCCAAACACACAGAAAGAGAGGATCCCCTCACTCTCCTCCTCTTCCCCTCCTGCACCTTCAAACCAAACAAAGGCTTACTCCCCTTTTTATGGTTTGAAAACTCTAATGATCTTCTATGTCATACTACTGCATCTCAAACCATCTTAGATTTCGTCTATCAATTTGACATTCATATAAGAAGAGGGCTTCAAGATAAGCTAATGAATGTTGTAGTTCGTATGCATAATGTATTGTATCCAGGGGTGGAGGCAGAAATTTTCTTCAAGGGGCAAGATGCTAAAATTTTTAAAATTCAGGGGGGGTTAGATAATTTTTCATATACTAATTATATATTGATTTGCAAGATTTTCAAATTTCAAGGGGACGAGCGTCTCCCCTCGCACCTCCCTAGCTCCGCCACTGATTGTATCATTCTTTTGTAGAGCTTTATCAATATCAAAGATTAAGAAGAGAGTTGTCAGATTACAAAAATGGATGAATCACTCATATGGTACAAAATGAGAATTTTGAACTTAAAGTTAATACTGAATTTACACATGAAAAGTGTATATTAAGTGAGAAAACTTTATATTAAAAAATTATTAATTATTAAATACAAAAGAAACTATTTTACTTATTATCAATTAACTTTAGATTAAATACAAGTTTTGTACTAAAATTCATACACATTTATATATATAATATTTACAAATTTGACGATTATTTGTCACGGGTTGACCATATGAAGACATAATACTTGGCAACTGTCTCTGACTCCCTTCCACGTGGTACTCATTACTTTCTCTACTTTGGTTTCTGACTTCTATGATCATTGCAAAAGTTTTAACCAATTAACCGGAAAAGGAAAGGAAGAAAACGTGGATGTGTCAGAAAGAAGTTATGTCTCACTCAGCAATATCATCCATTCTCCTCACCTAAGGTTAAAATTAACCACACCATAATGCAGAATAGGCCAAAATCTTACCATTCTGGTTTCTGGTTCCTGCTTCTGGACAATGCTGCAATAATTTTCCCTTGAGGGTGACACTGATTGATAGTGGTTTAGGCAATTAGGCAACGGAGTATCCTCCTTTGGTTGTGATGGTGGTCCAATTTGTGTTTTACTTAAAATTATGGTTACTGTAATTCAATACGATTGTAGGATCCAGTACGATGGCAATGCTCAATGGAGCTGGTGACTTCCGTTCTTATCTAAGAGATTAATAATTAATTAATTAAATTCGACAACTAGAGTCAGTAGGGGATGTAGCTCAGATGGTAGAGCGCTCGCTTAGCATGCGAGAGGTACGGGGATCGATACCCCGCATCTCCAATGTTGATATTTTGGATTTGCTCTTACTGGGCTGGGTCGTTTCTTCTCGTAAATTCAACTGGGCCAGAATTGGATCAGTCATCAAACATTGTCCAATTGTCAACTCTTTTACAGTCCTTGTACTCTTTCTCCCAGGGCCATTTTTGTTTTTTCTTTCCTCTTTAAGGCTGGATTTGCTTCTTACATAATCCACTGGTTTTGCACCAAACATGATCCTTATAAACACCTCTTTCCCAAAAAATATAGTTTAATTGGTTAAAAATTTAAAATTTTAATTTAGAAGCTTTAAATATTTTTAAACAAATCAAAAATTAAAAATAAGAACTATACTAAACGAAACTTAAGTTTATGCTTTTTCTGTGCAGAGAAAGTAACTTGCAAATGCAGTGTTATTGGGCAGCTGGTTGTCCATATCAAGGGCCAATAGCAGTGACACAATTTTTAAATTTGAGAGCAAATCTTTGCAGCTTTGATGTTCAAGATATTTGTATGTACTATTAAAAGACTGGTTCATTAATTGGTGATTGAATGAATCCAATTTGGGTTAGGTTATACGTAATTTAAAATGAAGGATGATTTATTTATTTTATTTTCTCTCAAGATCTGAGTCTCAAAAAAAATTGTTGATGATTTGAGGCAGTGGCCCTGCAAGGAAGTTAATGTTGAACAAAAATGACAAAAGAAATAATTAGATTTACTTTAACCTAATAGAATCTGCACCAGCTCCCAATTATAATTATCATCAATTATTGTTTTGTAGGGAAACCTGAGAAAGTCCAAGTGATTTGGAATATTTCATATTTATTTAATTACAAAATTATAGTTATAATGTTATGTAAAATTATAAATTTGTAACATAATGTAAATTAAAATATCATAAGTAAACCTCTAAATAAAAAAATTAATTATATAATGACATATTTATTATAAATTTGTAATATCACATGATATTTTAACTATAAGATTTTTATTTATTTAAACCATACAACTCTTTGTCTAGGGGAAGTGATTTTCATCACTTTATAATTAAATCTAAAAGGTTGAATATACTAGGAAGCAAATCTTGTCTTGTAGGTTAATTAAGTTAAATGTTCAAATCTTGAGTTTAAGAGGTGACTCAATTAAATAAGAATTTGAAAACTCTAGTTTGGAAATCTTAAATTTTGAATTTTGAGTTAAATGTGAAGGAATTTTGAAAAAGAAAATGATTATTTTCTCTTATACAATTTAGTATTAAATATGATCCAAATCTTGAGAGTTACTACCTAAAAAATTTAATTTCCTTAAGTACTTGTAATGTTAAGAGTTTATTATGAGTTTTCTGTCCTTAAATGCAAGTATTGAAATAAGTATGTATTAATTTTAAAAAGAAATGATCATATCTAAATAAGTTATATTATTAGATGTATAATAACTTATTTGCGCTTGCTTAAAAAAGTAACAATAAATTATAACTATGTTTATAAACATAGGTTCAAGTCATTATTTGAGTATAAATATTTTTTTTTTTTTTTAACGCAATGAGAACTTTCCATTACATCACCGCCCTACGGTATCTACAGCAAAACCTTATCGAATGGATAAGAGGAAACAACAAACAAAGAAAAACATTTGGAGAGAAAAGGCAGAGTAGACCTATTTTGCAAAGGATGAAAGGAGGTGATCAGTACACTCGAACAACCGCAAGGAACAAGCTGTACAGATTTCGGTGGTCGAACGATTCAACAAACGGGACACCCTTCAATCAACTCATGAAGAAGTTGCGCCAAGCCTCCAGGATGCCGAGGCAGGAAACCCACATAGACGGAGACCATCCCCCTTCAGCATCATGAGAAGCGCGATGGTCGCTAGATCTAGGGAAATCGACGAGCACCTCCAAATATCTGCGTGTTGGGTAAGTGGGCCGTCGAATCTGAAAGCAAACAAGGAAAACAGAAAAACAGAAACCCAAGAAAACAAATAAGAAAACAAAAAACCAAAAAAAAGCCACCAAGAGGGGTCCAACAACCAACAAACCACAACGGGTCATCGGAACAAGAAGCACGAAGCCGGCTCCATCATGCTTGAGCAACCAGAGATCCCGACAACTCAAGCATCAAAAACTTGAAAGCCCAAGGGCTTCTGATCTCAAAACAACGAAAATGCAGAGGAATGTAGTCATAAGTAGGAGAAGAAGGTAGAGAGAGAGAGAAAAAGAAATTTTAAATAATTTTAATTTTAATTGGTCTTACCAAACACTTATTTTTAAAAATGAAGATAATTCACAAATATATGCGATATTTTTAACCAAATACTCTAATACCCTTTATTATAAAAAAAAATTATTAAATGTACAACTAGAAGTAAATATTCATTAAAAGAAAGAAAAAAGATATTTGTACCATTTTACCACATTTTTTTATTCCTATGCTGTTGCACAGGAATATTCTAAATGGAAATCAAGATCTAAAGATTTCAAAATTGTCAATCAAATTTAGCGAAGTACCCATCCCATCAATCAAAATTAATGGGCATGATATTAGAAGAATGTGTTTTTCACATCAACTTACAAGTAAGAACGCAAAACGTGGAGAACGGCCCGCTCCGCCAAGTTGCATTGCATTTTGGTGAGAGTCGTACTTTTTTGAATTGTATTTTCGAATCTCATAGATACTTTTTTTTTCTTAATTAATATATATAATTGTAATATGTTAAAAAAAAAAACCCAAAACGTGGTAATACCTAATAGTTTAGTAGTTGTTATCTCTTTATTAATTGTAACAAAAAAAATTATATCTTTATTAGTGGCTTTTCACATAAATTTAAAAATGTAAAATTCAAATTTCACTTTAAATATTTTAAAAACAATACAAAATATGAAAATATCAATGAAATTATTTAAATATTTAAAATAAATAATAGATAAATATATAAATTTTGTTATTTTTATTTAAAATATACAATTTTAAATTTTAAATTTTTATTTAAAAATGTCAAATTTATATTTTTTATTTAAAAATATTAATTTTTTATTTTTTATTTAAAAAATAATTAAATGATGATAAATTATTTTTTAATCATTTAATTAATTTTTAAATAAAAAATACAAAAATGAAATTCTTAAATGATAAAAGTTAAAAATTTATCATTTTGTTTAAAAATTAACAAAATTGACATCTTTAAATAAAAAAATAAAAAAATTTATATTTTTATCTACATATTTTTTCTTAAATATTCTTGATAAATTTATTTATTTATAAAAGACATTTAATTAATTTTATAAATTATTTATACTTTTTTTGTTGCATGCCGACTTAAAATTATACTATCATAATATAAAATAAAATATAAAAGCTAGAGTATAAATGTTGAGGAATTGGTAGATGGGTGGTCCCAAATGTGACAAAAAAGAAGGGGACTTTATATGAATGGGAAGAGGGCCCAAAGGGCAAGACACTCACCAGCCCACTTCAATCCAAAATAAAATTCCAAATGAATCTCTTTCGATTTGGTCATGGAAGGACAATTTGTCCACCTCCTTAGGACAAGGGGTTCCACAGATTCCTCTCCTCTTTCTTTTTCTAATTAATCCAAAACCAAAACTTAATTTTCATCTTCACCATCGCATGCGTTTCAATATTCCATTTTATCCTTTTGGTGAGTTCAAAACCAATAAGTAACACCTTTCCCTGGATTTTGCCAGGGCATAGCACTTGGCATAAGACTGAGGAATGAATTGGTGGGAAACAAGAAACCCAAATAAAAAACCAATGCAAGTTAAGCATTTTTTTTTTCCCAAGCTACATGGATGGTCAATAATTAAATTCAGCTCCTAAAAGTAAAAAAATTTCTCTTTTTCTTTTTGTTTTTTTTTTTCTTTTTTTTGTTGGGTTGTGATACATGTGAGGTTCTTAATTACATCAGAGATGTCTAGAAAAAGCATGAGAGGAACCAATTCTTGAATTTTCTTCCTTCAATGGTTTGAAAAAGGAAGTGCAGTAGACATCATCAATTTTCCTAAAGCTTCTCTTTTTATTTATTTATAATTTTTTTAACCTTTTGAAAGTTTAATTAATGTAAATCTTTTATCTTCACGATTGCCAACGGAAAACATTGCATGCATCATCAATGATGAAAATGCAAAGAAGAGTATTGTCTGGCGCTACCTGGTGATTGGCATGGGTTAATTTTTAAATCCTGGGATTCCAATGAGGGCGACAGAACGTCCGTAGCAACTCTGTAGACATTCCGAAAGCACGAGGCTAGTTTAAAGGGAAAACAAACAGCTAGCTTAAACCCAAGGATGAACCGGTGACCCAGTGTAGTGTGGGACAATGTCAAATATAGTGCATAGGTTTTTGTTTCTTACAAACCATTTTTATTTAGCTAAACATTGGAGCCTGGTTGTTTTTTATTTAGCTTAATATTTTGATGTACCAAACAAAAATAATTTAAACTTCATTTAGTTGAGTTTAAAATTTTTACTTCTAATTTCTTAACATAATACTTTAAGTAAATATATAACAAAAATAGGACTCGGTTAAACCGACATATGTGCTATAGTAAATGTCATGGTTGGATTAAACGACTGATCAATGTAAATTTTTTTTTTTTCGAACATTGGAA